CTTACATTTCATTTCACCTTACAAATGAACTATAGTAAGATTAATGATTATCGGCATGTATTGCTATCAACAACCTTCATGCGTGATCACGTGACTGAGGAATTAAGTTAATCCTGTATACATAATAGATTGACCTTAATTAAACTGGATTTATGGACTGACATTAGCGATAAAGGAGTGTAAACACAATGTCTACTTCCTTAATTAGTTACTTACGTCTCTTGCGTATAATTAGAATTAGACAGTTATGCAAATATAACTTCACAACTGGACTAATGATGGTATAGAGCATATGTGTTCAGTATCGTAATTAGATTCAATGTATGTAGATAATATTAAGCCTACCTCATACGAACATATTACATGATATTAATTAAACTGGAGAGATTAGAGTTAGAACATTTTTACTACTCAACTGCATCACTTCATGATAAATTAATCCATATTTCAAATTAAACAGACCTTACTCCTATGTTCGTTCTAATTTTCAAGTCAAAATGAATTTTAGCATTTAATTTAAGAGTGATAATAAAATTATGTCAAAGGTTTTACTAAGTCCACAATATGAACCATTTATTAGTAAGGGCCTGGATTATCTTTTTATTAGTAAGACTGAAAATTAATTAGCCTTTATTGATATGTATGCATTGAGTACAGATAGCTTTCAAGTACTCATTTCCCTACACATTTTATATGATAGATGGATTCTAATAGTGAAATTCAAAAGACTCATGTAATCGTATATGGAACTCATCAGCTGATGGGTGTACCTGCATCCTAGTGTTGATGTTCAAGATCAAAACCTTTCGTTTAGAGAATCATAACACTTGATCGACTGAACTACTAAGTGTAGATAGCTATTAACATCAATACTGAAATGCAAATATATTCAGTCGATGAATCCCAAATTCAATTAAGTGCATTGTCCTGCATCGTTCATGTATTGCATAAAACATATGGGCAATTTAGTTATGACTTAGCTGATTAAAGAGGTAGTGTTTTCTTTAAGATATGAAAATGATCAATTTTTGAATTCCTATCAGTATCAAGAATGTTTACGGCTAAGGGACTCATATTAAGTTCTTGAATAATATCAAACATTCTTTAACCAATGCCCTTTTTTTATACTTTTAATAATGATCATAATATCATATTGGTAATAAACCATACTTTCAAGACTATTGCGTAAACATTGGTAACATTAATATGCATTAAAAAAACATGTAATATTTTGAACAAAGACAAATCACGTGGTAGGTTAGTTATTTCTTAGATCACATGACACATGCTGTGCCATATCCATGTGAAGTTCTCCAACTAATGGTTTATTGGGTTTTAGTAAAACAAATATTGATTATTTGTTTTTATGTGCAATTTTTTCTTTAGAAAAAAACTTGGAAAGATTCTTAATCTAACTGAAGAAGGAAAAAATAAATTTATTTCCCGGGAAACATTAGGCTTTCAAAATTTTATCAAATGTTTATTGTATTTATTTATTTATTGAAGAGAGAGAATGAGTACTACTAGTAGTGGAGGAATATTATAATTATCAAGGTCCAACTAATCAGGATATAAAACACCGAGGTAAAAAAAACACTTCTGAGGATCATAGTTTACCAAACGGACTGATCTTAGTAAGGGAATCATTGAAAACCAAGAAGCACTAGATAACTACTTCATCATAGTATGAGATGCTCTAGGACTAGGCAATGGGAATCAAAGCTAGGAATTTCAGTTAAATATATACATTATTGAATAAATGTTTCCAATAGTTGGCTATCCTTTATGAAATTTCAAAATCTAAGTTTCAATCTCTGAAGGGGTTGTTGGTACATATGGCGTAGTCTAGCGGTTAGGATTTCTGGCTCTCCGTCAGACGACCCGGTGTTCGACTCCCGGTGCGGCACAGTTCCCCCCCTAAGATAACCACCTGCTTCGTTCTGGGCATCCGGGTAGTATCACAGCCTACACACAAATCAATTGACTTGTGTGGCGCATATGTATTCGGTGCCTTTTGTACCAATATTTATGTGTTCAAATAAATATATTAAATAATGTTGGTACACACCACTAAAACTAACCTGTTGTTTATTGTTCCTGTTTCTTAATAATATCTTAAATATAAGCTACAAATAAAAGTGAATCAGTTGATTTAATAACTTGAAAATTTAAAGTTTAATTCACTTTGGTGGTGTTGAATGAACCTTGGCGAGATTATAAAAAGAATGACTAAATGATTGTCCAATAAATTATTTCGAAGTAAAAATTAATGAGGTAATTATCTTTCGTAAAGTCGAGTCAACAAAATTACTACTGATGATTATTTTTTGAGTTTCCTAGTTTGACTCTTAACAACACTTATATTGTCTCGATAAAACAATAAGAAGACGGAGTTGATCTGAAAAATGCGTTGTATATGCGCTATACATTTCGAATAATGTGTGTCAATGATCCGATCAACGTGGGAGGTAGAAAACCAGGTTCATCGATAGTGAAACATATAATTGAAACGGGGCACAAAATTGACATTAATACAGCTTTTAAAGCATTGTATAGAAATTGTCAAGGACGAATTCTTAGGTTTATTGAAGCCTTGGCTATTCGTAAATTTAAACCCCCTTTATGTGTACAAAAACAATTTGTCGTAACCTTGAATTTACCTTAGTAATCCTTAAGTCATTCTATGGCCTAGGATAACTCGACAATTACTTATTCTTTCTATACGATGTAAAATTGTTTCTCTCCCGCCTGTTACTTTTTTACTTGAACTTTCTTTTAGTTTACCTTTATTGGTTGTTATATAAAATGCCCTGACAAGTATATGTGTGACCAGATCGTTCGAAATGTATAACGCAAATACATTACATTTTTCAGCTCAACTCCGTCTTCTTATTGTTCTATCGAAATTTACCAAAGGGACTAATTGCTTTAAACTTATATTGTCACTTCTTAATCATAAATGTTAGACAATGCTTTGTGCGCAAATATATCTTCAGTAAATAGATCTTAATTCTATTCATTTAGTTACGTAACTAAATGATATATGGGAAGAAAAGTCAAAATTAGATTGATTTACTCATTATTGATTTTTGGTCAGCATTACTCCGTTTTGATTAAATTTATTGATTACTCAATGTAGTATTTGTTTTGTTTTCCCAGTGTGATCTTTTATTCTGTATAACATAACGATATTATTGTACTAAGTTAACATAAAATATACTCAGCATATGATTTGTTATAACCCTAAGTATTTATCATATATGTGATTTCATCCTAATTATTAATCAAAAATGGGTGTATGAATCAATATATGAATGAGTGCGTTTCCGACTAGGGTCGTCGTGGTTGTGTTTTTGGGATTAATAACTCTTCACTTATACTTGTGAAGCGAGGAATCACTGCAATTCACACAACGCGAAAATAAGAACACATAGACTGGTATAAGTGATAATCGATTCCGATATAACAATCAGCAACGACCAGATATAACAAGTAGCGTTCAATCGAAAAGACATATCGCTAAACATGCACTGTAAACTAAAGTGATTAACTATTATTCTAGAGTGTTTTGTTAATCACAATGAGTCAGAAATTTCTACTCCCAGAACACTTATTTGATTCACAATAACAAGTTTGTATAATTAAAGTTTACTGATTTGAAGTAAAAGAACTTATGTGGTTGATTTAATGGCTTATGACTAAAGTATTTCATTATTTAAGAATTATTCCACATGTCTTTCCATTAAAATTACTCGAACTACTTAAGTAGTACTTTTCACTTTAGATTATTTCTGTTAAGTTTCACGTCTAATGAATATTGTATTTATTTAAGAATATATATCTGTGACAGAAACCAACTAATGCGATCAGTTTATCTTGAAAGGAACAATGGTGAACAAGATAAAACTAATTATTCAATGACAGGCTGTTCAATATTCAAATGAATTTAAAACTGGTCTGGTTGACGTCATAATAATAATCTTGTTGTGGATAATTTATTTGGACTATAGTTGTTTGTTCCTAGTACATTCCGTATTGCTGTCTAACACAGTGTGATTGTAGGAACGATAATTAAAACAAATAAAATTTGGTCTTTAATATTTCATTTGTTTTAGAATTATAATTATTAAAAAATATGGATTAAATGCAATCACTGAAAACCTGGAAGCACTGTACGGCCGTTTCGTCCCAATATGGGACTCCTCAGAAGTACGCATTCACGACGCTGCACGCGGGACTCGAACCTAGGACATTTGGCCTTGCACATCTACGCTAAAACTTTAGACCTCTAAGCCGGCATCCAATGGTGTAAGTGTCTAACTTCAATCGATTCATGATCTCGTGCAACCCTTCAATTGAATTTAGACACATACTTCTGAGGAGTCCCATACTAAGACGAAAGGACCGTTTACTGCTTGTAGATTTTCAATGACTGTCTAGCATGATTGGTCCATGAATTCGAATGTTAAAATACTACGATCTTCACAGATCCCCATACTCATACTAAATGCAATCAGTCAAAAACAGTGAATAAAGCACATATACTGTACAGTAACGCAGAGTGAAAACAGATAAATTATTAGGAAGAGTCATACTTCCATGGAGGGTGCAGTTTATATTGATTGATAGCTGAATAAAGAATGACCTCACCATCGTCTAACTTAGTCCCAGTGGTAGACTTTTAAAGTGAAATTTTATTTATCTCTATAGTTGTAATGATAACCACCATTGATCAACAACATAACAATTAAACATACACATTTCCGTTTAATCAATATCGACTTAATGTTTTAGTTAGGTGATTATCACCTGATCATGACCAAAACAATATCGTTTATTCCGATAGCAGACATAGTAGAACGTGTCACAATTCGTAACATAGTCGTTATAGGTTGACAAATGTGGCAGTTGAAACTTCATTCCTCTTTAATCATTCATAAATCTACATGACATTAAACGCTTTATGCTTCTTATTTTTTTCCTTTGAACAATATTTCTAGTTAAAGTTCATGCAATTGGATCGCCACTGACACTTCCAACGACGGCTACTCCAACAACAACCATTGTTCATTCAACACAAGTACCTTCAACAATTAATGTTGCCATTGGTTCAGTTACAAGCGGTATTTCCACTAGTGGAATTCATTATACATCTGTTTCTGGTAATCATGTATCATTAAATTCATCAAAGCTAAATTCATCAGCAATTGTACAAAATGAAGATTCGACTAGTATCACTGCTACTACTACTAATATTAGCAGTAGTACTAACCAATCACAACAACCGTATACAATTTATTATGCTTTACCAACAAATGATTTACTACATCAACTTAAATTAAATCATCAAGCTATTCAAATCGATCCGAATATATCATCAAGACCACAAATTATTCAAACACCAGCTGGTTTAATGTTTGTTCAATATCCTTCACAATATCAACAATGTTCAACAGGTAGCTCATCACCAAGTAAACTCAATACTGGACCACAACAACAACAGCAACATCAACAAATACAAAATGATAATACATTACCACGTAATATAATGACATCAACTAAGCATAATATACAACAAATAGGTGTAGTTAATACTGGAGTACCTGTTAATGTTTCAATTGCTGGTACTCATGTTGATTCAAATACATTAACACGTCATACACGTGTTGAACATGTACAAGGTTCCGGATTAATTTGCACTTGTCCACCTGAAGTTCATCAAGGTAATATAATACAATTTATACATAATACCTGTCATTATTATTACCATTATTATTATTTAAAATATTATCAGTACAAGATCTCAATGAGTCTGGTGTACCTAAAAACTGAATTGTTTAAATAGATAAACAGGATTACAATCATTTAATTAATAATTTGTAGATTAATGTTAATTGAAACTAGTGAAGCCATTGTCTAGTATTTAATATTGATTGATCGATAAATGGATACAAAAACACTTTTCTTACGCTTAGCCAAGACTTAATTCATTCAGTAAAACTTACAGATTTCTTGTCGATAACTCGTATATCATTTACAATATTCAGTAGATAACAGCTTATGTTCTGAAAACCTTTTTTATGACAATGGGATGAGATAAGCTAGATTCAGTTACCTTTTATTTTAGTTCAAATAACTAACCCTTTTAAGATACCGTGCAATAGTATTGTTATCTATTAAGAACTCATTTATTGGTATTATATGGGGATCGAAGGATATGGCAACTTGGTTGAATTCGACATTGTGAAACATTGGATTTCGGTTTAGTAGTCTGAAAGGTCAGTGACAGCCAGACTCAAAGCTATCAGTTACGATACTGTGTAGCTATATTGGCGCAAACCTGTTAAGAATTCTTAAACTAACACGGAACAGTTGTCCCATATTCTTTGGTTTTTTATTGACTCTACTTATAATGTCCTATTTTCGATATATTACTAAACCAACTTTTATATGGCCACTTAACAAGATCACTAAATCATACAGTCAACTAATGATAGATTCTCAAACGACAAATAATACTAGTAACCTTTTCACGTCGTGTTCAGTAAGTATACTGACGCTGATTGGCCGAAACAAATTACGTTTTGCCACTACCTACCTAATCGGAATGAGAAGACATCGGAAAATTTATTTCGTATTAGTAGAATTTAAAAGCTGACATGACAATATAGATTATTTATAGGATTACAACATATCATGAATAGGAAATCACCGTACATCACCAGGTCAAATGTAGTACAAAGCTGAGTAATAGGTGAATAGTTAGTTAATTATGGTTCAGGAACAATAAGAGGCATATAATCAGTTAATGACTTACATAGAATTTTACAAATAGGACAATCAAAAAGCACCATCAACCAAATATTTGATAAATATAAAATAAAAAGTAGATGTAATCATTTACCGTAAAATAAGTAGTCTTCAGAAATCCACCCATTTCGACCTTTTCGTCTGTATCCTTCAACACAATGTATATAAACCTTCACAAAACAAGAAATGATTATATTGTTATCAAACAAAAACACAGTAGTATTTATTACCGAAACAAGTTCACAATTATGCATTTCAGCCACTTATATATATATCCACTCAGAGTCAAACTGAAGAGAGCAGAGCGAAAAAGAAACAAATAAAAAATGGTATTCTAACCTAGATATGTTCATGATTTCAATGAAATTCAACAATATCAACAACCCCAATACTATTAGTTATCATATAATCACTAGACACTAGATTCCAGAAGAAACTCCCACAGCTCTATTGATAAGCCGAGACCAGTGGAGTTTAACCGAGTCAGGTGTGATACAGTTACTTACCAAAGATAATGAAAGATGTTCACAAAATGTTTTGGACTGATTGATACTAGACATAAACACTTCTAAGTGCCGACTCAATGGCTTGGAGTTTAAGTGTTCATGTGCTAAACCGGATATTTTGAGTTCGATTGCTGTGTGGATGTGTACTCTTGAGTAGTTTTATAGTAGGATAAAATTACCATCCACTACTTGCACGTCTTCAATGCTGGTTTAACTTAGATTAATTTATAATTTTTGTGAAAGACAAATATTGAGTTTTACCCAAGTAGATAGAGTAACCAAATAAGTTAAGTAAAACTAAGATTATTAATTTGTTTTATTTGACTAACAAGTTGGTGGTCTATATTAGTTATTATAGTCATAAACATCGAGACGCCAAGATTGTTTACTGTGTATGCAAATTTCATTTGAAATTTATTCTTATTTTTAGAAATATCAATTTCCGCTTTTCAATCACTTAAGTTGAATTTAGCAATAAATATTAGTTAGGTTAATATCTCTAACTAATAGAAGTACTAATGCTCTTTGAAGAGACGACAAATTTGTTGGAATTTAACTACAGTAGTATTTTGACTAGTGAAGATCGAATTCTCCAAGATTGAATAATAAAAAAGAATGAAATAGCAAATCAGTTGTGTTCAAGTAAATTCAGTTAGTGGCTAGCACTACAATCTAGGACTCACGTTTCGTTCCTTATTTGAATATATCTGAATTACAGTGTTGATATTTACACCGAGACTCAAAACTCTTTATCTTTTGTTTCAAATGCCTAAACCGTTATTCACTGAATTACTGAACCTCGATAGTCACTAGCTTATACAAATTAGTAAGTTTGTAAAAATAGAATATCAGAATTAGAATTGAATGAAGTATCAGTAATAGTTTGGATGCTCTACTATAGAGAAAAATGTAAAAATCAATTGTACACAGAAGTTGAAACGAGTATCAAAATAGAAATTTGCTTGACAATCTAATATTTTGAAAGAATTATAGTTTATTTTATAAGGAAATAATTAACTTGATGTTAGTTGACATTAAGAACTGTTTGAAGCGATTGGAAAACTTTTAAAGACCCTAGGGTCTTTTTATAACTAATTATCTTGATGATCATATAAAACCGAAACTCCAAGACCTTCATATTTTATCCCTACAGACACATAACCATCAATCTATTGATTCGCGTTTCCATAGTTTTTCCTATTTAATTACGACTGTCCTACATTGATATGTATCAAATAATGGATTTATAATCACTCTATTCATATTTTCCTTACCACGTTTACAATGAATAATCATGTCGAATAAGGAGACTATAAGTATTGTAACTTTCAAAAGAAAACAATTTAGAATGAAAGACTTGTTACACTATAATATATTATTAGTTATATGTCACGTAGAACCAGTCATATGTGTGTATCTATTCAAGTTTCGACATAACATTAGTACAGAGAAAAGAAATTATCGAGACAAATCTCAAATTAGTAGAAGTATTAACGTTATCAATAGTTGCAGAAAAGATTAGATATAGACAGTATAATTTGAGTAGAAATAATAAATTTATCAGATAGAAATAGTACAAGATAGTTTTGAAACTGAAGATTTAAGAGATAACAAAGAGTAAATGCATCTACACCAACGGGACAGATTCTGATATGTGTCATTAAATGTCTCCAACGATTGGTTACGAAAATCACATAGTTTGCTCCTTACAACACGACTCAGTCCAAATGTTAATGAATTCACGAAATAATGCCACATTTTGGTTTGAAATTCTATAATCTTCTTTCGACCTACTCTGAAACCGGCTGTCGTCGCATATCAGGGCAAATAGTGGTCGAGCACAAATAATGTATATCCCAAACACTTCAGTCGATAGATATTTACTGCCTCATCAATCAAAATAGCATCCTTACATAATACTCTGTGCCTAATCTAGCATTTATCAGTCCATCTCCCCAATATATACGAGTAATACTTTGTAAGCACCTATAGTTAAATACTAGTGACCTATAAATATTTTCTGTTTTTAAAGGCGACATTTCACAAACATAAGGTAGTAAAGAGCAAACTGTTGTGCAGTGGACTCATCATTTTTCTAGCAAACGTCTACCGTAGAACATTTTCAACAAACTTTTAATTTTTCTCTAAATTGTTGCAGTTTTATCCTAGGACTATTGATATAGATTTCACTTAAAATTATATCATATGTGAATGGGACCTGTTGAAATTAGTTTAATTTGTTGGTAGCATTTATTACAGATTGATCTCACTGGGAGCGATCTGATTAAGAAGTCTTATACTATAAAGAAAAAGTTATTCAGTACTTCTTGGCTTTCAGTAGCACCTAAATGAGATAAACACGATACTAAGACAACTTAGAAATTAAACCAGCCACCATAAAACCCATTTAACTAAGATTATAACAGTCGCCTCACTTGTGACTCACTTTAAGATGTTCATGAAACTCTAATAATAAGTTGTGGATAGTGGAGTTTTACTATGTCAGAAGTGAAATACTTGTCAATAATAGCGTTATTGGATCATTGCACTATATTCCAAACTCGTTTAACTTATAGTTGTACCATTTAACGCTGACCCAGTCGTTCGATTAGTCAAGCGTTCGTTGTGAAATCTGCAGGTCTTGGTTTCCATCTCTGGTGGGGTCATTTATGCGAACTTTTAAGGGATCTCATGCCATAACGAAACAAGTGTCTAACTCTCTCCATTCTTTAATCCTATCCTAACTGAAGTCATTCTGTGAGAGATACAACGAGCAAATTTATGTCTATTTTGCAAGTTGTCGCTGCATTAAAGCGAAGTTGCAACAACAATACTAGTGTACTGTTCTTTTAAATTAATAATAACAATAAACTTTGATTCGATGTTTTTGCTAAGAAAAATAATGTGTTTTAACTTTTTATCATATATAAACATAGCTATATTTGAACAACAAAAGAAACGTCAACAAAATCAACCATCAACAATAATACTGACTGGTTTATCACCGTTGAATAAAATCAGTACAATTGCAACAACCACTGGCACTATGACTTCAACAATGGCTAATAACAATAATAGCAATGTTAATAGTACAATATTTGAAGTTTCAGAAATGGTACCAGGTATTGTGACACGTAACTCGCCGAATGTAACACTTGCCAAAGAAAATGGTTTATTAACAAGGTAGGTATTTTGGTGAAATGAAAATTACACGTTTCTGATGACTTGATCAGACTTATCTTGCTTTTTTTCTCATTGTATATATTTTGTTTAATGTTCTGAGTAATTCATGGCTTCAAAATGGTTTTGACATGGTTGCAATTCATATATATATATATATATATATATATATATATATAATAAGTGGAACGTGTCTCCAAAATGCTTAAGAATCAGTCAGCGTCACACGTCCTGGTAGAAACGAAGGAGGTGCAAAACCAAACTGTTCTAGTTTAAACGAGCTACAGGAACGATATTATATACACTTTTGGAAACTTGATATAGAAATCATTAGGAACCTGCTTTTACGTTTATGAATGCCTTGATCATTGGAAGATTCAAGGTTAATGTTATGTGTTTACAAAAACAAATTATAACCTTGAATCCTCCCTGTGTAATAATCTTTAATTCATCTTAATGCCTAAACTAATGTACATTCTATATTTTGCATATTATTTAATATTTATCAAATCTTTTATTTAATAGACCTTCATTTATTTTCATTTATGAAAGCCTTGATAAGTGTGCGTGTATGTGTCATCAGACTGTTTGACGCGCATTGTACTGATACAGCATATATTTTAGATCAAATCTGTCGCACACATTAATTACATTGGGAGATGGTTTTGCATTATTGTGAATTGATTGAAGCTGGAAATATAAGTGATTGAGTGGATGACGTAGTGGTCTAAAGGTTAAATGTTCGCCACAATGCATGGAGTTCCTAGGTTCTATACCATCTTTTGGGTAGTGAGTGGGAGCTGAGGAGTCCCATATGAGGACATAACAGATGTTCAGTGCTTCCTGTTTTTAAATCGTTGCCCAATTAAGATCCATTTGTGATGAAAGCGACATGGTTAAATTGAGGAGTATAAGGAATGATCTGTTTTATTTGAGTAAAAACATGGGTCGCTATATAGATTGCGGTCAGCAGTGAGATCTCATTTGTAAATCCTCAGATGGGCGTACGTTTTTTTTGAAAATATACATTTTGGTGAATTGGTACTGAATCATTCTATTGCAAAAATCGATTTATGGGCTGTGCTGTAATTAGTAAGCTTTTTAACCTAGAAAATGACATAACCGTATAAATGTTAGTTATCATAACGGATTGATGATTGGTTTCTTCGCCAACAGAGCTAATCAATAATGGCTTAGGTCTCTTATTTCTAAGTATTGCAATACAGATTTTTTTATCAGTATCAAATTGAAATACTGCAACTAACCAGTACTGAATGCTAGTTTATAGTGTTATTCTTAACGACTTTCTTTGTACCAATATTTTCCTCCAATTGATATGTTTTATCATTCTGAAGTATGTATTTTACCTTCATGAAAGAATTATTTAGGATACTGCGAAGCTAAATGTTTTGAAAATGCTTTGACAGACTGAGATTATATACACTGAACCTTCTCAGACAGGGAAAAATTCGACAGTCTCGTCATTCTTTTTTGCGTCACCTTAGTAGTGACTATTTGTGATTCATTATGACATGGTAATCATAAAACTCATAATAAACACTTTGATATTTGATCACTGAATTTATAATACGATTCTCTTCGTTCTCCAACTACAAATGATTCATAGTAAAACGTGATTATAGTCAAGCATCATCAGCGCTCTCTCGACTTCACTCCAGGTTGACCTTAATTGATCCTTAGGTTACAATATCTCCCAATGGGACCTCAATACAATGAAAACTCATTTCGTAATTAGATTAAGTAATGGCATTTCCGAGATGAAAGTTTTCCTTTCCTTGATGTCATTAAATAAAGCCATACAATTGTATTTATGGTTATTTTTTACGTATGGTAGTCTATAATAAAATAGAAAATCGATGAGCTATTAGTCAATGATACCAAAAGTTAAATAAGATCTATTTCAATTGTCGAATCAAGTTTTGTATTAATCAAATCATAATAGAAATAACATAAATGAAAAGAGAGCTGAATATAACCATCCAGTTGACGAATATAAGAAAGATGAATGAGTGATCAAGATTGTGTTTAACACAACTTACAGAATAAATGGCTGTTAAAATCATGGTAAAATAACAGATCAGTCATATTACTTCTGAACGCAAAGATCAAGTCCTACTATCAAACCATATTTACCTGATTATCTTTTGGCCCAGTTCTTCTGACTTAGTGAATAGTTTTAGGTGAAGATTCTGGGGGAGATAGTTGACTGGATTTCATCAATACTTGATAATAGAACTATTGACTGATTTACAGTAACCTTTACACAAGCATACTGGATAGTTTTGGAATATGCATTTGGAAAGAGTACGCTTTATATAGCTTGTATAACACCCTCCACGAGAGCACGTTTATTAACTGGTAAACACATACTGAATTAGTCTAAAGCGGTGCTTCTTTGATCGGGTACCTACTAAATAATGTTATCTGTATTTCAAATGAATAGAATCTCTATTTCAACAAATTTAACAATCGATTGTTCGAGATATCTGCAGTTGTACCATTTTAGAGTTCAATTTTCATAAACAGAATCTTTTTTTGTTACCGTAAGAGTTTTAGCGTCTAGCATCTTGGTTTCAGTTTATTAGGAATGAACATAGGGGTAAAACTATTTTCTATAAGTATTTACTTGATTCTATTCAATTCTCCATCAATCTTATCTTTTTGCCAGTATAAGTGTTGTGGAGATTATTAAGTTTTTGATTGAGATCATGAACCGATTGATGTTAGACCACCGTTGGAAACCTGGGAGCCGTGACCAGTGGAGATAATTCGTGTCGAGTAGAGACAGGTATCTGCCTCAGTAAAATGGAAGATAGTTGAGCGACTTCGTGAATTGGTTGATGTTAGGCACTGACATCGTTGGATGTCGACTCAGTGGTCCAGTAGGTCAAGCATTCGTGCGCAAGGCTGAAGGCTTTGGGTTCGAATCCCGCGAGCGGGGTCGTGGACGTGTACTGCTGAGGAGTCCCACAATAGGACGAAACGGCCGTCTTGTGCTTCCAGGTTTCCAACGGTGGTCTAACATCAATCGGTCCATGATCTCAATCAAAAACTTATCTTTTTGCACAGATTTTACCAGGTATCGAAGGCTTTTTTGAAAGATTCATATTAGTTTCATCTCTATGTTATTATTATTAATGACTTTATATTTTTGGTACATTGTAGAATTCTCAACACAAAGTATTTCAACAAGTTTCCTTTCCTTATTTCTCCATCTATCCTAACGATAAATATTAATTTATCACCATTTAGATTATGTTAACAGTTCAGGAATCGAAATTTGAACAATGATCATTCGTTTCAATGCATGTTGACATTCAACATAATGTCTCTGATTGTACCTTTCTGTAAGTTGTACGGTGAAAGAATCTAAACTTTTCATAAACGCGCCTAAGTAGGTTATGCGATTAAGAGCCATAATGATGTGTTAAAACAAACAAAATATAGGTAACTTGTTGAGATATGCTGATGACAGAAACAGGTAGACCAGATATTCAAGCAGGCCGCCAAAAAATGGTAATGATGAGTGTGTTAGTTATTATACATATTAATTGTATTAATCTGGCACAATTCAATCATATTTAATCAATAAAACAAATATTGATTCTGATATTTTGTTTTCTTTTGCCTATCACTACTTTAAATGTCAATAATATAACACATAATAATTGGTTATATTTTCATAGAGAATAAGGGATAATGTTCTAATGTAGAGAGATAAATATCGTGATATTTTCTATTAATTATTAACGTTTTATTGAATTTTCTTATAAACTTGACCATTTAATTATTGTATAGGCTTATTTGGGTTGGAAAACTATGTACCAATGTATTGATTTCTATAGATTTTAATAATAAAACAACGTTGTTTACTCGAATGTTTAGATAATCAGATTGTAGTTTGTTTGTTTTGTCTCATTCTGTTAAATAAACATTTAACATTGAATGTTTCAATGAATAAATAACTGAACAAATGATATTTGAATGAATTTATGTTTCACAGATTGAAATCATGAGTCAATTGAAGCTAGACCACCATGGAAAGCCTGGAAGCACTGGACGGTCGATTCGTCCTAGTATTGGACTCCTCATCAGTGCGCATCCACGATCCCACACCCCGCGAGATTCGAACCCAGGACCTATCAGTCTCGCGCCAGGCGCTGAACCAACTAGGCCACTGAGCCGGCCAGCATCCAATACTGTTAATGTCTATCTTTAACCAACCACGAAGTTGCAACACCGTATACCATTGTTTTCAGTGAACTGATATCTCACAACAGACCTGGTTGAACTCCACTGGTAACGTCTTCTCACTAGAACTCCAGGAGTATCTCTTGAAGCCTGTCACTAGTGAGCAGATGATTATTATCAGAATGGGTTTTGTGGAGATTCCAGCTCATTGGTCTAGTTGATTAAGCACTTGGCGCGAGACTGATAGGTCCCGGGTTCGAATCTCGCGGGGTGTGGGATCGTGGATGCGCACTGATGAGGAGTCCCATACTAGGACGAAACGGCCGTCCAGTGCTTCCAGGTTTCCCATGGTGGTCTAGCTTCAATTAACTCAGAACTCTGTTTATCTTTTTATTTTTTTTGGATGGTTTGGCACGTATATAAGTTCAACCGGGTATGTTGTGAGATAGTAACTCACTGAAGACAATATAGATGTGTCGCTCAATTTCGTGGATTATTTGAAGTAAGACTAGAGGTTAACCATGGAAAATGTGGAAGCACTACACGGTCGTTTCGTCTTATTATGGGACTCCTCAGCAATCCACATCCACTCATGAATTCAATTACAAAAATTAGTAAAATCTCCACAAAACCCTCTCTGGTAATAACCATCATATAAACACTAGTGACTGGCTGGCTTGAAGAGGTATTTCCTGGAGTTCTAGTGAGAAGCGATGACCTGTGGAGTCCAACTGGGTCTGTTGTGAGATAATAACTCACTGAAGACAATGATGAATGTGTTGCTTAATTTC